TAAATTATTAAAAATATATAAATAATAACATAATATATATAAAATTAAGCATGGTATGTGCTATAAATGTGGTATAATTCTATTAAAATGGAAGCTATAATACAATATATACAAAGAGAAAAATAACTTCATTGCGAGAGATTTATAGAGTAAGAGAGAAGTATTATTCTCGATTCACGCTCCTATAAACTATTGTTACGTATACATATACGATTTGAAAAATCTCTTAAGAGATGACGTAGATGCAAGCGATTGATGCAACAATTTCATAATCCCTATTATCGGATCGTAAACACGTCTGGATCTCGTAGATCACGATCATCGTTTATCGATCGACGGTACCGTCTGTGTGTACCGTTTCGCGCTCGATCCAGTTTACGAACCAGAAACTAATCCACTCCTCACCGCGGTTTGTGTCCACTCCGGCGAAAGAGAAACTCCGCTCCGTGCGTTGTCAGAGTGGATAGGTAAGGCGGAAAAAGAGCGGCGACGCGTAAAAGGAGCGGACGCTCGCGCAAAAAAGACTACGCTTCATCCAACTAAATAATAGTGAAAAGCGTTAATTATGGACGTCTCGCGACGACGACGAGGATGTCTTTTAACACGCGACTAAACCAACGAACGAAGTCGAAAGTGTGCGCGCGTGTATTACCTGACGCGGATCGTCGATTTTTTCGCACTACAGAAAATGCGCCGCGTTTTCGCGCGTCGCGAAGAAAGTGATAGTAGTAGAGCGTGTGTCGTCCGGCATGAGATCCGGTCGATTAAGCTCGATTTACATGTACTTTCCCTCGTGCGTTCGCTCGTGTAATAATACTTTACCGTACCGGAGAGAAACTTTCGCGAGCGGACGCATCCTCGGGCGACGCCCTGTCAAATTCGGAAAGGCAGAAATTAAGGTGATGCGCAATGAAATACGCTGGGTCTCTCTTTTTCGCTTTAAACTTTATGACGAATAAGTTAAATTTCAACAGGATGTCTGCTTAGATCTTGTAAAAAAAATTCCTTAATTTCCCAGGTATTTTTGTTCAAAATTACGGGTAAAGAAAATATTTTCAAGATTTTTTAGTGCAACCTTATTAAAATAAGTTTCTTTTTTAATGCTTTTGACTCATATGTGTACGGAGGAAAAATACGA